AAGCTGAAGTCCGGTGCTTAGAGAGTGCTGCGTGCCCGTGCTGCTGGCGCGCGCACTATATACTAGCTGCAGCTATCTACCAGCCAGGCGCGCTCATTCTACAATGCAGTGGTGCTCATTCTGGACATGAGGCATGTCTTGCTGCTACTGGGAAAGTCTTTAATGCAAAACAGGAAACTCTGGCAGTGCAATTCTTTGATAAAGGTGGGCGCACTGGCAAAAACTTACGGGCTGCGCTGCTAGCTGGTGGCTGTGCTGAATCGTCTTTGCCCACCAACACGCAGCTCTCCAACTGGCTGAAGAACATGAGGAAACGCAGAAAGCCGGCTTTGGATTGCGACCTACACATCGTCGAAGCTGTTCAGTTGGAAGTCAACAAGCTACCCCAGAGCCCGCCCAAGCAATTAGATTCAATGTTTCTATTGGAACAGCCACTCATCAGCGATTCGGAAGTGTGCGTTCTCTTTGCGTGCCCGGGTATGCTGGAAGCCCTCGGCCGCTACGACGGTCCTGATGTTGCTCTTGCGGTCGACACCAAGATGAAAGTACTTGACCGGGGTATGGGCGTGGCTACTTTGAGCTTGCTTGTGAAAGACGCTTTGCGACCAACCCATTTGCCGAGAGGCCCTGGTGGTTGTCGCACCCAAAGCCGCGCTTGGACTTCACATGGACTGCCCATAGTGCAAGCCGTGTTTCACGCCGAAACAAAGCCGAACTATATCCGCCTTTTCCAGAAGATCTGTGACCTATGGGCTTCTCGACAACCACGCCGCTCGCCGCTCCAAGAACAACTAACGCTCCAAATTCACAAAGATTTCCACCCCAGCATTGAGGAGGCTCGATTGCAAGTGCTACCGCTCTCGCGAGCGTGTGATGATTTTTTCCACCTGAAGCAAAAATCTTTGACTACTATGCAAGCCAAATGCAAGCAAGTGATTCATCGCAAAGGAAAATACATCAAAAAGAACCTCGGGTTTGCTTTGGATACACTTGAGATTCTGCGGCTGGTGCCTACCTTGCCTCTCTTTAGCTGGCTGTGGAAAGCTTTCCTAGCCACGCTCGGTAGCCTTGGCGAGCCAGAGTTAGCCAACTACCTCAAGAGTTACGAACGTGTTCTTCCGGCACAATTTGCTTGCCAAATGTTGCCAGATGACATTGTCTACGTCAGCTTCTGGATTGGCTTTGACGGCATCATCTCCGGTTCTGGTAGCGGCAGCGAGCCCGCAGAAGCTTTGCATTCATCTTGGCAACGCGAGCTCAGTCAGCTCGGCGGGCGTGGCAACATCAACCATGGCTTGCAAGTCTTGCAGCAGCTCTACACGCAACATTGGAAAGATTGGTACAAATGGGGTGACTCTTCATCTTTGTCTTTTGCGCCAGTAAGTCAAGATCCGCAGCTCATCAATGGCACAGCTTTGGTTCGTGCTGGACGTACACCCGCTGCCCATTTGAACAAGTTGCCTCGTGATACCTTGTACATCCTGCACCCATGCGCCAATCTTTCTTGGGTCGCATTTGCAAGCGCTGCCAGAACATCCCCGCTGAACTGCGCCGTTGCGCGCAAAGTTCTCCATGTCCTTCTACACCCTGAAACCTTGACTGCGCACAGTTTGCCAGACCTCTTCGCTGCTGATGGAACCCTTTCCCTGGAGTCTTTGCGGTTCCATTTTGAAAGCATCGTGTATCTCAAAATCAAATCAACTTCGATACTATGTTCTTGCCTGGCAGCCGCCATGCATGCACAATGCGAACATTCAACATTTCTTCGTAGTTGCAGCCTTCCCAACTTTTCGTCTCCGGCTTTGAATCTTTCGACAGTGCCAGCCAACAAGAAAGGTGGGCGAAAGAAAGCTTCCAACCTTCCCCCGCGCAAACGCCGCCGCGTTTCTTCCTGATGCCACAAACAAAAATTTCTCGCTGCCATGGAAAAAGGTGAGACATCAAACATTATCTAACGCAGCTCTTTCGTTTCTTTGGTCATTAAACGTTAAACTTTGCATTTTTCATACTGGCTGTGCTTTACCGATTCTGCTCGTTGATTCGACACTTCTTCGCAGTGCGTAGCCATACTGTACGATCTGTCACCGCTGCCAGGTCTTTCTCGCCTACCGCGTCGGGGCGGGGTGCGGCGCCCAACTAACTATACGCACGGTTTTTCTTCTCCCGTTAGCGCCCGCCTTGCCGTGGCGGAGAAGCTCAGTACCGCGCAACTGCGCGGGAAGCTAAGCGGCGCTTGTCGGCCTGCAGCTGCATCTGCTAGTGCTTGGTCTCTTGTATAGCTGTATGTCGCGATTGCCGGTTGCCATTGCCGGTCGTTGCAGCGGCTAGATGCCTCGGTGCTGCTGCTGCTGCTGCTGGTGCCTGCTGCTGCTGCTGCGGCTGCTGCTGCTGCTGCTGCTGTGCTCTGTTGCTGCTACCGCTGCGGCTGATGCCGGTGCTGCCGCCGCTGCTGCTGCATTACTGCTACCGCTGCCGCTGATGCCGCTCCTGCCGCTGCTGCTGCTGCTGCTGCTGCTGTGACCGGTCCGCGTGCTGCCTTTGCTGCTGCGTTGCTGCTTGCAAGGCAACAACAGCTGTCGCAAAAAACACCCCTCACGGCTGCAAAAAACACCGCCGTCGCAAAAAACACCTCGAGACGTACGCTCCGACGAGTTGTGGGCTGACCACTGTTGCAAAAAACACCGCTCACTGATGCAAAAAACACCGCCGTCGCAAAAAACACCTCGCGTACGCTCCGACGATTTGTGCGCTGCCCACTGTCGCAAAAAACACCGCTCACTGACGCAAAAAACACCACCGTAGCAAACAACACCGTGCAGACGTCCACAAAAACACCGGTTCCGGGCTCACCGTGTGAAAAAACACCCGTGGAACTGTTGCAATAAACACCTTCCCCAGAGCTGTCGCAAAAAACCCTGAAACAAAGTACTGTCGCAGAAAACCCTGATTACTGACGCAATTTACCCGAAGCCCAGGAGACTGCCTCGCCAGTGTTCAACAGTGCCTACGCGCAAGCTGTGGGGTCAACGACTTCTTCATCGCAGTCAGCGATCCCGAAGCCCAAGCCACGCCCCAAGCCAAAGGTAAAGTCGGCTCCCAAGCCAAAGCCAGCTCAGGGAAAACCAAAGGCGGAGGCAAAGTCAGAGCCCAAGTCGAAACAGCCGCGTCTCGAGGCAGAGCAGGCAGATGACGACGACAATGAAGAGGAGGAAGAGGCAATGGAGGAGGATGTTTGGGATCCTTTGGGCGAGGGGTGAGTGGCCTTTGGCTGCTTCGGCCAGGGCCAACACCGTCTGCTGGCTGCTTCGGCCAGAGTTTTTTGAAACTTGCTGGCGCGGAAAAATTATTAGGTGTCTGGGTCTGGGTTGATAATTGAGGTCAGTCTGCTTAAGTTCACAAGTTGCAAGTAAAGGATAATTGAATGTTTTGGCCCAAGGGAAAGCGTCCTTCAAAACGTGACTTTTAGTTGAATTTCACATTGCGATGCTGCGACGTCACAATGCGCAGTTTTCCGTGATGATGGCAATAATGGAAAGGGTTGTGGCGAAACAGCTCATTTGGTTCAACAGAAACTGCTCAAGTCTTACCACCCTTGGAAGTTCTTGCAAAAATACGAACGCTTGAGCAAAAGCCAATGGCCACAGGCCCACAGACTTGCTACACACATTCTCATGGATCTTATTTAGAGGCAGGGTCGCAGCTGGGTGCGCAATCACTTGCAATCTGAAGACTGGGCGCTTTAAATTAAAGTGTGGCAAGCAATGCTAATTAAACTAGGTTTCCCACAGACTGTCGCCGTGTGGCTGCTCCGGCCACTGGCGGCAGCCTGTGCGTGCGTGAATGAGGGAGCAGTGCAAGTGCAAAATGACTAGCCCTGCGCTATTTTTTCAAGTCTCGTTTTCTCATGTGAGCTTTCTCGCGGAAGCTATTGAATTTTATTTTCACCCCATGTATGTGTAAGTGAAAGATTTTCAACAAGACCAAGATAGTACACACACCTGAAGGGGAAAATGTTCAGTCACCACAAAAATGATTGAAAGTTATTTTCTATTCTCGTTTTTGCAGCTCTTTCACTTCCCATGAAAAAAAGTCAAAAGCAGCAAAAAATACAAAAATACCACTATATAAAAGTAAGTATACATGCACTTATACAGCCTACTAACCTTTATAAGCCCACGGTTCATCCCAGTACTCAGGTTTTCGTTCCTGTCAGCCACTCAGGCTTTCCTTCCAATCAGCCACTCAACCACTCAGACGTTTCTTCCTGTCAGCCACTCTGCCACTCAGGCTTGTCTTTCCCTCTCAGACACTCAGCCACTCAACCACTCAGGATTTTGTTCCTGTCAGCCACTCACCCACTCAGGCTTTCTTCGTGTCAGCCACTCAGCCACTCAGGATCTTGAGTGGCTGAGTGGCCGGTCAGGATCTTGAGTGGCCGCCGTGAACCGCGACCCGGATTGCACATTCTCTCATAAGTCTTAAGGAGTTGAAGGCCGTCGGCGAGAAAACAAACAGGGTTTCGCGGTTGTTTGATGTGAGTAGTTGAAATTCCTTTGGGGACCTTGGAAGCTCTACAAAACCACGCCCCCAACCTCAAGAGAGAGCTCCCAGGGAGTCTTAGACGCTTAGGGTGGAGCGTTATGGGCGCACCAAGCGAAGAACGAGATTGAACTCTTGCGCTGTTTTCATGACAAATTGAGCGACGTTTGCGCAGAGCTTGTCAATTGCGACCTATGTCAGAGGCACCGGCGATTAAGGGGACAGCGCGCGCAAGAAGGTCGGTAGAACCGCGAAGCAACCATTGCGAGACTTCATGGAAAGATTCTGTGTCTCTTGGGGCACCTCGCATCATATCATTGCTTCTTTGGCTCAAGTGGAAGGGATCGCCAATGGCGTGCATTATTTTTTAAACAAGTCAGTTTTTGAGCGGATAGATCAGAGACATCTATGTGTTGCGCATCATGGCATAGCACGGTCCAAGTTCTGAAGCACCACGGCGACCGCGATCCAACCCACCAGCTTGCCCAACCCATGGCGAAGAGGTTGAGGGATTTGAAGGAGGTGTGTGCACCAGAGGCAAACTGTGGAAAGCAAACAATTGAAAGCGAGCTTTTTTAAAAACATTGGATTTTAGCTTCTAGAAACATTTGTTCTTTTAAAACGCTTTCTATACTTGTTTGCTTTCATCAGATTTCGACTTTGTTTCCCAGAAACCGCCCAAGAAGAAGACCAAGGCGTCGAAGGCGGGCCACCAGCGGGTCAAAGGTGAGGTCCGTCGTCGTGACCGTCGTGACCGTTGTCCCAAGGCGTCCGATGATGTGGAGCGCGGCTTTCTGGTCACCGGCCCGACTTGCCAAGAAGCCTTGCGAGGCCGTCGCGTGTGTGAATTTTCCATGTTGGACGGACGTTGTATAGCCGAGTTCTGTCCGCGGTACATTCTGCTGCCATTTAGGTTCACAGGGCCCTTGAGCTGACCGCGGTGACGCACGCGTAGAAAAGCGCATCGGATGGCGAAAGCGTGTGTTTTTTCACACTGGTTCGGGGTCCGTCCCACTGCATCCCGGAAATCCCATAAAGCCGATCCAGGATTCGTTCGTATACAGCAATTCGTGCCTGAATTTGCAACCAAGTGTTCCTGAAATTGCCTGTTGAGGCCTGACCATGTCGGTCGCTGGACTTCGCTATAATCCCGACAAGAATTCAGGAGTGAGGTATTGATCTGAAGACCAAGTCAGGTTCGTACATCTACTGTGGAGACGCCGCGTCGTTCCATGATTGGGAGTTTCGCACACGCCTTCGCATTTGCCTGTGGAAAGAGAACAACAAGCCGAAAGCTGGCTCCCGGAAAAGCACCCCGTCGTCGTCCCCATCGTTGACGAAGAAGCAAGCCAAGCCAAAGACTTTCCTCTTGGAGGTATAGCCAGGACGATGAGGACCTTCCCGGATTTCCAAACGTTGATGAAGAAGAAAAAGGTGAGGAGGAGGATATCGTCTTCAGCAGACCAGACGTCAGCGCCCTCGTGAACAAGATGTGGAGATGCCTTCATATTGGCCAGGGACGTCGGACTTGATGCCCTTACCAACAAAGAAGGATTGGAAGGGAATTTCTGCTTGCAGACAATACTTTCTCTATCTATAAACCT